CCCGCCCTACCCCCCGGGCCTAGGCCCGACCCGGACCCGGACCCGAGAACCGGGCCGGTCCCGGTCCCGGTCCCGCACAGTAACGGGCCGGGCAGTTCCACGGGCCGGGTGGCCCGACCCGAGTCCAACCATAATTGTGCATTTCCAAACCAGCTTATGAGTTACTCCTTCTTTCCCATTTCGTAAGATACACTTTCCCTTTTTGGTTGGCCCAAAAATATGAACACTTTCTTAAATTCAGCTTCACTTACTTTTTACTTTCCCTCTTTATCCCTTTATCTATCATTTCACCCTTTACTTTTTGTAGACTTATCTTGATCTTTCTTACTTTTTGGGGGATATAATGGTAAAACAACTATTTTATTTTTAATTTTTTTTAAAACCCGCACCAAACCCACACTTATCATACATTATGAGATGGAGGTAGTTCTTTTATCAAACACTAATATTGAGACGATTAGCTCTTAGCTATAAAAGATATGCTATGAACTCTCAGTTAAGTAGTTAACTTGTTAGCCATCTGCAGGCTCATCACAGCTTGTTATGTCAAACATAGCTGTACCAACTTGTCTTGTGAAATGTTTACCGGCTAGCTTATTAGCTTGTTCCTCTAAACATAGCCTTGGGTGTAATTGGTTTTCCTAATACTGTGTTTGGCACTTAGGTCGCATGAATCTGGTTCACTGTTTTGTCACGTCTGTATGATCTATTATGTCTACTGTTATGTCCACCTAAGTGCTGTAGTGTAAATGTATAATGACATATATTTAACTTTGGTTTTTGACTCTGTTGTCTTTTCATTTTCTTGCAGTTAGCCTGCAACTGGGTTTGGGAAAATTGGAACGGCAAGATGGATTCAGAACAATTTGTTTTTCTTTTTAGGGTTTCTTTTCAACCTATTCTCATTTCTAATGTTGGTTTGGGTTTATGAAAAATGTTGACCTATTGAAACTTTATTCGGGTTAGTTATCAGTAGGCATCATTATACATTTCTATCACCATCTTAGTAGCTGTTGAATATTGGAAATTTTTCAACAATTTCTTTATGCACTTGCATTTACCGAATTTTAGATGATTATAAATCATGGCGGACTTGGTTAACAAAGTGTCAAAGTCTAAACATGTGATTGGAATTCAGCTTCCTTGCGTCGAATGGTGGTTATATAATATATGAAAGCCTTTTTTTGCGCGAGGGAAAGAAGAAAAATCTTTGCTCTTATCGTTTAGGTCATAAAAAGAATAAAAAAAAAATAAAGCTTGTCTGCATAATCTATAAAATATAATCTGTATTTTGCTGAATAATTATATAATTTTTCTGCAAGGAAAAATGAATTTGAAAAACTAACAATGTCCGCATAAATAAAGACACGGGTTTTCTTCCCTTGTGTATAGGGGTGGACTCGGGCCGGTTCTGGGCTGGGCTTGGGCTGGGCCTGCTTTTTTTGGGAAAGGGAGAACTGGAATCGGCCCGAGTATAAACCGGGTCTGGGTTGGGCCCGGGTCGGTTTGGGTCTGGCCTGATTCTATGTTTTTTTTTGCTTTCCAATTAACCCCCTCAAACACCCAGCCCTAACCAAGAAAACCAAAAAAAATTGAAAAATCAAAAAGAAGAAGCCCGAACCGGTTCAAGAAAAACATGGCCTGAGCCTGGCCTGTCCAACCCGCTCCAACCGGGTAAAAGCCCGGGCCCGGTCAGCACCAATCGGGCCGGTCCGAGCCCCCATAGTAGCGGGCCGGGTCGGGTCTGGGCGGGGCCGAACCGGTTGGGTCAATCCCTACTTGTGTATACACATACTTCCTCCGATTCTTATTTAAGTTCCCAGTTTGACTTCACACATATTAAGAAAATGAATTTGACTTTACTGTGGAGTGCACTGTTTGGCACTGTTTGGCACTGTTTGGACACTGTTTGGCACTGTTTTGCACTGTTTTGTTTCCTAAAATGAAAGTGTGAATTTAAATAACGGACATCCCAAAAAGGAAAGTGAGAACTTTAATAAGAACCGGAGGGAGTACAAAATAATGCGGTAGAGAAGTTAGGGTTGAGTTGTACAAACTAATGTCTATGTAAACAAATAATTTTTTATGGATATAGACATTTTTCTGTCCATTATTTATAATGAAGCCAAAGATTTATTATTTTTTGGATTGGAAAGATTTATAAAGTAAAATGATTCACTAAACTCTCTGCGCTTCTTTGTTGTGAAGCTACAATCAGTCTATGCAATTTTCGACGCCATTTTCATCACATGTCATCCAGAACAGTCTGTGTGTGCTTCTATGTAGGTGTGTCTGTGCTTCTATGTAGGTGTAAGGTTGCGTATATCCGACCCCCAGTACCCCACCTAGGTAAGTCTTTACGGCACCCGGGTAATGATGAATGAAATGAAATGAATGAGATAAACATTTTTTGTATATACAGATAACTAATGTTTGTGTACATAGACAATATTAGTCGTCTATGCAAGAAAAAAATGTAGGCTGAAGGCTCAAATAGATCCTTGTACCAGTCTAGAATGCTCAATTTACTTCCCGAATTCATAAAAGCTCCAATTAAAACTCCAAACTCGATAAAAACATTCAAATTTCACTTTTGCAGGTCCCCGATTACTATCACGTCATTCGGTAAAGTGCCAACTGCGCATCTGACGTGGCAACTTAAGGGGTCAAATAAGCTCATAAATCCGACCAAATTGTTCAATTTACCTCTTCAACCCTTAAAAAATGTCATTTTCGGCTTTTGGCTTAAAAAACTGAAAATAATGTTTTCAAGTGATAAATTCTACTTATTCTATTACACAAAAAACATTTATTTTACTTTTCATACACACTGGAAGAAAACCAGTTCTTTATTTCAACCATTTCAAACCAGTGGTTGAAATTAGACACTGGGTTTCTTCCGCGATCATGTGTTTTTTTTTCTATTGCAAACACTCCCTATATAAAGTAAGCTAATATATATACAATCATGTGTGTGTGCGCATGGACGCTAATGCGCGCACACACATATAAGTGTTTTATGTACACATACATTTTTTTCAAAAAATTATAACTATATGATTTGGAAATAAAGTTCAAGAATTAATTTCTTTTGGTTTAAATTTATTTCTTTATTTTGCATTTACCGAAAAATATAAATATTTCATATTTATATTTTATATTTTCGACTTGTATTTTTATTATATTTATATTTTATATTTGGAAAAAGGGGCAAATAAGCCCATGTACTAACCAAAAAGGGTCAAATTAGCCCTTATATAGGAGGCTATGTCCGGCCATCGTCATTTGGGGAGACTCCCGGTGGAAATTTTTGATGCAATTTTTTGAGCATATTATTCATTAAGTCTAGTTTACTCATACCAAATTTCAGCTAAAACTTCAATCGGGAAGGCATTTAAATGAATTCTTGAAGATAACCGCGCTTTTAACTGCGCAGTATCAAAAAATTCCATCGGTAACTGCCCCAAATGGCGACGACCGGACAAAACCTCCTATATAAAGGCTTATTTGACCTTTTTTTGTTAGTACGTGGGCTTATTTGCCCCTTTTTCCTTTATATTTCCACTCCTTCGTAATTTTGACCCATAAGTTACCACGTCACATGCACAACTAGCATCTTACGAAGTAACGTGGCAGTGACCGGATATAACATGCAAAAAATGAATTTTGAATATTTTTAGGGAAAAATCCCAAAATAAAAGTAAAAAAGTATGAAAATTTCAAAAGAGGACTGTCATATTTTTATCCCAAAATAGGAGTAATTACTTTGAAGTTTGTCATGTTTTTATCCCAAAATAGGAGTAATTACATTGAAGTTTGAAAAATACTGTCATGTTTAAAGTCTGGTACTGTCAAAACATGGTAGTAATTGGTCATATTTTGAGAATTTACAAATGTTTTTAGTCTTGTTTAAGGCAATTTCTCATATTTTTATCAAGTTTAGTGTGCTAATTGAAAATTTGTTTAGTTGAGGGGTCAAATTGAACAATTTGGGTACAATTCACCAACATCCAATTTCTCTTTTTGACTTCACCAATTTTCTACCATTGCAAACTTGCACATTATTGTTTTAAAATTCTGTTAATTAAGAAAAGGGGAAAATAATTAAAATATCTCAAACTTTGAAGAAATGTGAGTTAAACATCCCAAACTTGCATATGTAATTTAAATACCCCAAACTTTATACAAATAGTTATTTTAGCACCATGGTCATGTATTATTTCTTTCAAAAATATTAGTTTTTGGTGTTTATTTCATAATTTGATAATTTTTAGCATTCATAAAGATACAATAAACATTCTAAGCGACCATTGTAAAATAAATAGTACTCCCTCAGTCCCGGTGAGTTCTTCCTAAATTGACTTGGCTCGCAAATTTAGATAGTGGGAATAAAGTGGAAATGTATAGTTGTAGTTGTGTAAGAAAAAAGTGAATGATTGTGAATCACATATTTTTTCCAAAAGTGAAAGTTGGAAGAATTAATTGAGACGGTTCAAAAAGGAAAGTTGAAAAAAATGACTGGGTCGGAGGGAGTATTACTCACCACTATATATAATTATAATGTTTTCAATTTGCTATTTTAAATTATGCATTTAACACCATAAATTTACATTTTTTGAAAGAAATCATACATAACCATGCTGATAAAATAACTTTTTATATAAAGTTTGTGGTATTTTTACATATGAAAGTTCGAAGTATTTATCTCATACCTCTTCAAAATTTGGGATATTTTAATTATTTTCCCCGTAAGAAAATGAGCCAAAAGTAGACGGATTAAAAAGTAAACCGTAGCTATAAATGGACCGGAGTTGAACTTTCGAAAATGTAGTCACTTTTTGTATATTTATAGACGGATTATTGAAAAATGTTAAAACCTTAACTATTTTTTTGCTCATATTATGCACTTGTGGAAAGATAGTTTTGTTAGTTTGACGCTTCTAGTCTTCATAGTTCACACTATTATCATCGAATTCATCCAATTCCAAAACGGACTCATTCTTTTAATAGGTAATCTATAAATATTTAACAGTTAAAACACATGTACACAACACAACCCAGAATTTCCTCCTCCAGATCATTTTTGTACGAGGAAATTTTGATTCACGTGGTGTAATAATTCGATTTAAGAATCGGTTGATATAAATTTAACGAAGAAAAAATGAAGATTTGGGGTGTTTGGAACTAATTCTGCTTCTGCTTCTTTTTTAAAGCAGAAGCAGAATCAGAATCAATTTTCAGAAGCTGGTATCCTCACCTTCTAAAAAAACTGATTCTAGGAGTAAATTAGAACACCAGAATCACTTCTGCATTTTCACCCAAACACTCCAGCTGGTACCCCAGCTCCCTGAAGGAGCAGAAGCAGTTTTAAGAATCAGATCCTAACACCCTTTTCATCCTCTAACAGTACGTAAAGCTGTGTCGGTAAGGTGAACACGAATGGGCATCAAAAGAAAGGCTATCCGCTCAACACGTGCCGCCGCTAAGTATTCGTTTGGACCCCGCTCCAAATGTTGAATTCTCTTCTCGTTCTGAACCAAATCCAAAATCCAAAATTCCCCTGCACCCAAACAAACCCCAGCGAACAAATGCAGAATCTTCTTTCTGCTGAAAGCTTAATTACACCAACACAGGAAAACCGAGAGGCGTTTAACTTTGGGCGGCCGCCGTCATTAGATGATGCTATTATTTATTAATAACGTTATTAGTTCTGGTCTTCCCAACCGTATATATCATCAAATTCAGATTGTTATTAAGGTTAATTGATCGAGAACATATAAATTATCACCGGAAATGGCCATTAATGATGATTTACCTGGAGCAGTTGGGACAAGCGCCAGCTTCGCTTTGAGATTAGGGCAGGCTGTTTTCTCTTCTGCCTCTCTGCTCTTCATGTCTATAGGTGTTGAATTCTACAGCTATACCGCTTTCTGGTAATGCTTTCTTTCTTTTTCTATATATATTGGCTATTTTATTTTAATTTGTACTACCTAGTTTAATACTCCTTCCTTCTTTTGTAATTTTGGGGTAAATACATAAATACTTATGGTTACGTTCCAGAGAATTCCCTAAATAGGAGTAAAAAAGTTTTGAAATTCCAAAATAGCAGTATCATGTTTTTTATTCCTTGAATAGGAGTAAATTTTTGCCAAGTTTGGCATTACTAGGCTTTAAAACATGACAATTTTTTTAAAACTTGGCAGATTACTCCTTTTCAGGGAATAAAAAACATGATACTTCTATTTTTGAATTTCAAAACGTTTTTGCTACCATTTAGAACAATTTCTAGTTACATTTTGGTGCAACTTTTAAATGAAATAAATCAGTATCATAATTATACGTAAATGTTTCCATCGGCAATATTATTCAAGTTTGGATCAAAAGTTCTATGTGGACGCCTGAATTCTATGTGTATTTATGTACGGTGAAACCTATGCATACATTTTTGTCCATCATTCGGATGTTTTGTCCAGAAATTTAAACGGTACTTCAAGTTCAAACATTTATGTATATTTATGGTAATGATTTGTTTCATTTAATAGTTAAAATACCAAAGTAGCGCAGTACCAATAGTTAATTAAACTACCATTTATGCATTTTATTCTATAATTTTGCTAATGATCGACACGTGAAATGATAAAATAAATAATGTGATGACTACGATACCCATTTAAAAATGGGGGTATCATACCGTTAGTAACTTCATTCACTTGATTGGTCCAAACCAATATATCATTTTTAATTTACATTTACACAATTCAATTGCAACATTCAGATTGATTCATATGAACAAAAGTATGGTATTTTGAGGGTAACATAGAATACTCCATTAAATAAATATTGTCTGATTTTTGTGTTTGCAAAAGAGAGAAAAATAACAAGAATCACAATTGTTCTTTTATAAACCAGAACCACAAATTAATTACTTAAAATGAAAGCTTTGATTAATTTTGAAAAGAAAAAAAAATATATTAACCAAAGTTATACTCACAAATTAATACTCTCTGGTAACCAAACATTCACAGCCCAGATAGTTGTGATGTAGAATCGAAGGGTTGTGTTGAAATAGGATTTCCATCTAAGAGTTCTAAGCACTGGTAACGATTAGCGTTACCTGCAGTGGGAATTCCATCTGAGTTTTGTTACTGTGCCTAGTGGGAGGTCTCGAGTTCGAAACCCGCTAGACACATAAGAGTTTGAAACTCAATGGATTATGTTTCAGCCCCGATTACTCCAGGCTCCCCCGTCTCCCAGACTCCCTTGGAGTTAAAAAAAATATGACACCAAATCGCATATATAAAACAAATTAATACTATGGTATTTTGACTTTGCAAGAAGATTAAGAAAATAGTATGATTGTGTGGTCTAACACGAATGAAATTTATTTTGGAGTAAGAAGTGGGAAGTAATATTTATTTATTTATATATTTATTTATTTATTTATTGTTCAATATGAGATGATTTATTTATGAAATTTAATTTGCAGCTTCTTAGTGACTACCATGGGTTTGGTCATCCCATGGAGTGTTACTCTCGCTCTGATTGATGGATATTCAGTATACGTTCGGTGTCCGGTCCGGCAACCAGGAATACTTCTGGTCATTGTTTTAGGAGATTGGGTATTTCCCCTTCACTTCTATCACACGAAATTATTACTGCGTATTTATATTTGAATTTATGAAATTAAATATCGTCATTTTGAAGTGATACAAAAGTTTGTGGATGTTTGGATATCCATATTCGATTTTGTGTGAAAAAATACACCACATTTTTGGCAACTACTCTCTCCAATTTAAGTATAATTTCTCACATGTCTGATTTGAATGTCTCAATTTTATTTCTAATTATGAAATAATTGGCACTCTAAAATCTAAACTTAATTAATCATCAAATAATTAATAAAAATAACGCGCATATAACATACTCACCAATGACCTCATTAGATTACAAACTCATCAAAATTATTTCTCAAAATATACTCAAATAATCATATTTTTTTATTGTTTAAATATCCCTATCATTTTGCAATGAGATATTTTAGTTTCATAAACAGAAGGAGATTATTGATATTCGGTACGGAGTATATATATTTTCTGTATGTGCTCCTTAATATGTCTTGAAATGGTCCTAATTCCTAAATTCTCAGTATCTCTTGACATTTTTTTAATTTTCTATGACATCACTTTTAAATAGATTTTGTTGACACCCACACTGAAATATTGATATGGAACAGGTCCGGTCCTGACATTTTATGGGACTGGGACAATACAGATAAAGTAGGCCTTATGAACAACGTGTGAATGTTTATATATTTCTATAAAAAACTATACGTAAAATTAATTAGTGCAATTTTTACTTGCAATATAGAATTTTAAATAGTGAAAGACTTGAAAGTTATGTCGTTATGGAGTAACATTTTCATATTTTAAATCATGTTTTCACTATATCAAAACAAAGTGCAAGTTTCTAAATTATTAATATAGAAATTAGTTCAAATAGGACTAAAACTATGGCAAAAATCTAAAATAGGACTTGTTATGTTTTTATTCCAAAATAGGATCATATGAGTCCTATTGGAAACATACCTATTTTTGCATTCCATTCTTACCCTTCCATTAAATATGAATTAAAAATAGTCAAAAGCCATAATTAAATGTTTAATTCATAATAAATTCGAAAAAATTTCAAAAATTCGTAGAAATATAATTAAAAAATTTATAAATTTTTTATAAAATAAAAAATTCAAAAACTTTTTTTTAATAATTTTATTTTTAAAAAAATTAATAAAAAATAGTAAAACTACGTAAAAAAAATTTAAACAAATATGGATGCCTTTCCCACCGCCTGTACTACCTCCCAGGACCACCACCTCCGGCCGATGAAAAAAATGTCATTTTCCCAGAAAAATGCCATTTTTTTCGGAAAATGCAAAAAAAGTGGCATATTTCTCTTTTCGAATGCCAACATTTTCATTTTTTCTTCCATAAATATGGCATTCGTAATGAACTTGGCATTTTTTTCCCTTGGTGACTGGAGGTGGTGGTGCTGAGGCGGCAGAGGCGGCGGCGATTTTTTTTTTATAGTTTTTATTTTTTATTTTTTTTTTAATTTTTTTAATTTTTTGAAAAAAAAAAATTAATTAAATTTTTAATATCGAAATGTTTTTCTTAATTTTCTAGTATTTTTTACGAGTTTTTATTATTTTTTATTATTTTATTAGGAATTAAAACATTTTAATAGCTATAAGGGTATAATTGTCGAAGGTACACATAATTAGTCCTATGCAAACATAGTTTATTTTTTGGCCCTATTTGTGAAAAGTGAATGACTTTTTGTCATATTTTGATAATTAACTCTTATGAATATTATAATTCAATTTTTCACTTACACGAGAGAATCAAAAGAAATTAGCAAAATGCTATCAATGAATCATGGAATTACATGAGAGAAGTAAATGGAAAGGTTAACATTTATGCGTTAACCTTTAATGATTCCAAAGAAAAGATAAGTCTATTCCCAAGGAATTCTGGTGTGCAGGTTACAAAATTTTAGACTTGTACATTGTAGATATTGAATAACGAATTAAAAGCATCAAAAAAATTATACTACCTCCGTCTCATATTGGTTGTCCACTTTCAATTTGGCACGATTACTAATAAAGTGGTTGAAAAGTAAAAGTTGTGGTTGAGATTTGAGTAAAATAAAGTGAAATGATAAGGACCACATATTTCTTACCAAAAAAGGAAAGAAGACATTCATTTTGGGACAACCCAAAAAGGAAAGTAGGATAACCAAAATGGGATAGAGGAAGTAAGTTGTATTTTATTTTATTTTAAATGTTTTTAAATAATATATTGTATATATATTATATTTGAACTAAATATGTATATATAATTGGGAAATTTATGGACCATAGGGAGCAATGGAGCAATGAGCCCTGGGCACATCCTTTGCCCATGCCCCAGGACCGACCCTGATATGGGAGAACTCATAATACGGAAATTCTGATACTATTTCAATTCCAAGAACATGGTCCAAGTTAGACATAAATAGACATGGTCAACGTTAATAAACTTAATTAGAAATTGATATTTGTCAAAGTTACAAAACGGACAAACTTTTGTTATAGCTACAAAAAGTAGATCATATCTCACACTTAAATATCCCTTCGATGTGAGAGATTTTTTATTCAAGTCATCAAAGAGGTGAATTTAATAGGACTTTCCAGCTTCTAGCCCTCGGGGATAGTTTGAGTGGCGCGCATCAAGTGGCAGTGAGGAGTTAGCTTCTTGCGAGGTGGTGTATAAATTGGCATCAGGACTATATTCTTCGTACAACTCGAATTACTTCTCCAAGAGTTTAGACTGGTTCTAGGGAGTACAATATAAGGCTATGTTTGGCAGACATAAGTTCCGACCTTCTAGCTTTTGTATTATTTAAAAAGTCTTTAAAAACTTTTAGTTGTATGTTTGGCACACAAATTTTTAAGAGTTTTTATAAAAAATAAAAGATCTTTTTTTGAGATGCTACAGTGAGTAGCATCTCAGATAAGTTCGTAGCTTCTAGCATTAATTAGTTCTAACAGCTTGTATACCAAACAGAGCTAAATCAAACAGTCAGCTTTTTACCAAACAGCTACTGCCTTTTCTTTTGAAGATCTTTTCAGTCACTAAAAACTAACCGTTACTAAAAAGCTTATAAAAGTATCTTTTCAGCTAGTTGTGTCAAACATACCCTAAATCTTGACATGATTACATTATTGCCGTGGTTCAAATCATGGGCGGATCTATGTAGGGCCTAGGGTGGGCTCTAGCCCAGCCCAACTGCCCAACCCAATTTTTTTTGTTAGTATAGAAAGAGATTTAATTTTCAGCCCACCTAAAAATTAAAACTCAGCCCACCCCAAGTCTACAAGGAAGTGTTCTAAGAAGCTCTAAAAGCAAAAGGCTGTCTAAACTTTGTTTAAAGCCCATAGTCATGGGAACAAATGATCCTGAGAACAAATGATCCCGATGCGTAATAGTAGAGCTTGGTGTGATTGCACCAAGAAGTGATTTATATATAGGACACTCAGGAGGGTGAACCATCTTTGCAGTCGGTGTGGGATAAATTGAGGAGCAAAACTTTACATACGTAGTATTAAACAATTGTATGTAGTTGGTGTTTGGAGCCAGCTGCAAATTATGCAATCCCATCTCACCCACTCACCCACACCATCAATGAAAGCACTTTATATTACAAGTTTACAATATTATTTTACCACATAAATTTTATGATTAATATTATATTATTATTATTATACTGTTATTATTATATGAATATTACTATTATTTGACCCAAGTCACCATGAGTAACTTTTATAAGCATTAAAATTTAAACATAATTATAATCATTAAAATAACTAAGTTACTCTTTATCAACTATCCTTATTTGGTCATATACTATTTCTATTATTATTATTAAAATTATTATTATTATTATTAATAATAAAATTATAATAGTTTTATTAGTGCATTAGTTTTATTTAATAGTTATGTAATTCTATTTGATTATTAATTTAATTTATGCTCAAACTCGGCTTGAATAAAATAGATATATGAACTCTATTTTTTAGTGTTCAAATATATTTAAAAGATTGCAATGAAAATGTTTAAATTTTAAGATAAATAAAATTTATTTCTATAATTTACGAGTTATTGATAGACTCGAGTCCGGATCAAACCGAATACCACTATGCTCGAACTCAGCTTGAACAACTATTCGAACTCAAAATCTAGCTCGTGTTCGAGTTAAAAAAAACTTCTTAAGCTCAGATCACTAAATTAAATTCGAAATCACGCTCGAATTCGCGTAGTTCGAAAAAAACTCAATTCGATTACGGCCCTAAACAGCCTAAGCTAAACTTTTTGTTTGCAATAACAATTTTTTTCCTGCTAAGCCCACCCCACTCTTCGTTCCTGGATCTGCCCCTGGTTCAAATCGACGTGGCGTGAACATATATGGACTTTTCATTTGGAATAAGTAGTGACTACATGAATAAGTTAGATCAATTTCTCTTAGAAAATATAAACAATAAATGTCTGTGCTGCCTGTGCATTGTTGGTTTTGTTGAATCTTGACCGTTGATTTGATTTCCTATGGTGAAGGACAGGCCTTATCAATCCTCACACTAGCTTCCGCTACCTCAACTGCTGCCATTGTTGATCTCTTCTTAAGAGCAGATGGAACTCCATGTCCTGCAAAGCTTTGCAGTAGATACCAAATATCAGCCGCCATGGCCTTCTTCACTTGGTTTCTTTCCATGGCTTCCTCACTTTCCAATCTTTGGCTTCTTCCTTCTTTGTTATAACCCCCCTGTACATAATTATAATTATCATATAAGTGCAGATAGGTTTTCCAATCTCAGGAGTTTGCATTGGAAATGATCATTGTGCCAAATATTTACACCTAAATGCTACCTGAGAAATTTTCCCTTCTTTTATAGAGTATAGGATATATTTGTTGGATATCTACAGCATATAGGTCAAACAATTATGCAAGATTAGCTTTGTTAACAAAAAATTATTCAAACATGTTAGAGATGTACAAAAACATTAAAGATCTGGTTATTACAATGAAGAATAATATTTTTATCACCTTCTTATCCACAACTTTTTTAAGGGAATGTGGATGGACACATTACACATATCATGTCTAGTCCGATTTGACTCTATTCATCAGAAGTGTAAACTGTCAAGATTGATTTTTTTAATCAAAACTCCTCGATTCTATTTCATCCTCCCTCTGCCTCGAATTGAATTGCAAACTTTGACCGGCACAAGGATTAAAGAATGACAATAAATAATGCTTGCTTTTTACACTTTTACCCATCTTTCTATAGGTAGATGCCTTTAAGTTAATGAGGAAAATGTAAAAGTAAGGGTAAATTTGTCACTTTATTCTTATTTACATACCTAAAATAGAAAGTGAAAAACCATTTTGGGACAACCAAAATAGGAAATTTTGCAAATCAAATTGGGACGGAGATGGTATTAGTTATGTACATGTGTTTAGTTCTAGTCTAACTATCAATTATTTGAATGTGTTTTATACCATCCATAGAGTAATTCTCTATAGTGATGATCATGGGGAAGATTCATTAGGTGACAATTCTTGAGATAAAATTGTTCAGTTTAGGTAAAAGTTGAGATGCCAATAATGTTTTTTTAAACGCCATGATGTTTTCTTCAAAGTATCAACGTTTCTTGCCACTTTCTTCAACGTTTGAATCTAAACATCATTTAACATTCAAATACATTTGAGTTTAAACATTGTTCAATCGTTTACAAAAAAGAGACAAAATTCAACTCCGTATAATATATGTATTTGGTACTATTTTTAGAGATGAGAAGCATGGTGTGGCCCCAATGGCTATTTTATCTGTGAGCGATTTCAAAACCACCTTCACCATTCTCCTTATCACGCAAGTAATTTTGTTTAAAGAGTGTTTGAAATTGATTATGCATCTGCTTCTTTTTTAAAAAACAAAATAGAATTAGAATCATTTTTTCAGGAAGCCCCCAGCTCTAAAAAACTACTTCCAGAGGCATTTTGGAGCACCCAGAAGTACTCCCGCACTTTTACTCAAACATTCCAATATCTGTTTCTGCTTTCTGAATGAGTAGAAACAATTTTAAAAAGTAAATCCAAACATCACATAGTAATTCCGAGGCGACCGTCAAATAAGGAGTGTAATGGGCCTGATCAGATGCATGTGGAAGATATGTGTCTAAAAACTGGACTCTGGGCCTAAAGTTGTACACCGAGTTTTGAAATCGTCTTTACAGAGACGTTTGGAATTGGCTGGGTTTGTCTCAATTTTATTTCTAATTATGAAATAATTGACACTCTAAAATCTAAACTTAATCATCAAATACTTAATAAAAATAATGCGCATATAACATACTCACCAATGATCTCATTAGATTACATACTCATCAAAATTATTTCTCAAAATATACTCGAATAATCATATTTTGTTATTGTTTAAATATCCGTATCATTTTGCAATGAGATATTTTAGTTTCATAAATAGAAGGAGATTATTGATATTCCGTACGGAGTATATATATTTTCTGTATGTGCTCCTTAATATGTCTTGAAATGGTCCTAATTCCTAAATTCTCATTATCTTTTGACATTTTTCTAATTTTCTATGACATCACTTTTAAATAGATTCTGTTGACACCCACACTGAAATATTGATATGGGACAGGCCCGGTCCTGACATTTTATGGGACCGGGACAATACAGATAAAGTAGGCCTTATGAACAACATGTGAATGTTTATATATTTTTATAAAAAACTATACGTAAAATTAATTAGTGCAATTTTTACTTGCAATATAGAATTTTAAATAGTGAAAGACTTGAAAGTTATGTCGTTGTGGAGTAACATTTTCATATTTTAAATCATGTTTTCACTATATCAAAACAAAGTGCAAGTTTCTAAATTATGAATATTATAATTCAATTTTTCACTTACACGAGAGAACCAAAAGAAATTAGCAAAATGCTATCAATGAATCATGAAATTACATGAGAGAAGTAAATGGAAAGATTAACATTTATGCGTTAACCTTTAATGATTCCAAAGAAATAATGAAGTCTATTCCCAAGGAATTATTGTGTGGAGGTTACAAAATTTTAGACTTGTATATTGTAGATGTTGAATAATGAATTAAAAGCATCAAAAAAATTATACTACCTTCGTCCCATATTGGTTGTCCACTTTCAATTTGGCATGATTATTAATAAAGTGGTTAAAAAGTAAAAGTTGTGGTTAAGATTTGAGTTAAATAAAGTGAAATGATAAGGACCACATATTTCTTACCAAAAAAGGAAAGAAGACATTCATTTTGGGACAACTCAAAAAGGAAAGTAGGATAACCAAAATGGGATAGAGGAAGTAAATTGTATTTTATTTTATTTTAAATGTTTTTAAATAATATATTGTATATATATTATATTTGTAATACATATGTATATATAATTGGGAAATTTATAGACCATAGGGAGCAATGGAGCCCTGGACACATGCCCTTTGCCCATGCCCCAGGACCGGCCCTGATATGGGAGAACTCATAATACGGAAATTCTTATACTTTTTCAATTCCAAGAACATGGTCCAAGTTAGACATAAATAGACATGGTCAACGTTAATAAACTTAATTAGAAATTGATATTTGTCAAAGTTACAAAACGGAAAAACTGTTGTTATAGCTAACAAAAAGTAGATCATATCTCACACTTAAATATCCCTTCGATGTGAGAGATTTTTTATTCAAGTCATCAAAGAGGTGAATTTAATAGGACTTTCCACCTTCTAGCCCTCGGGGCTAGTTTGAGTGGCGCGCATCAAGTGGCAGTGAGGAGTTAGCTTCTTGCGAGGTGGTGTATAAATTGGCATCAGGAGTATAACATATTCTTCGTACAACTCGAATTACTTCTCCAAGAGTTTAGACCGGTTCTAGGGAGTACAATATAAGACTATGTTTGACAGGCATAAGTTTCGGCCTTCTAGCTTTTGTATTATTTAAAAAGTCTTTAAAAGCTTCTAGTTATATGTTTGGCACACCAATTTTTAAGAGCTTTTATAAAAATAAAAGATCTTTTTTGAGATGCTACAGTGAGTAGCATCTCAGATAAGTTCGTAGCTTCTAGCATTAATTAATCCTAACAGCTTGTATACCAAACAGAGCTAAATAAAACGGTCAGCTTTTTACCAAACAACTACTGCCTTTTCTTTTAAGAAACATTGTAGATGATTAAAAGTTGAGGAATACTTTACAAAAGGAGTATAAACAACCGGACCCCATATACATTAAGCACCGTAACCAGGGGCGGATGTTTGCTAGGCCAGGGGTGGGCTTCAGCCCAGCCCAATTTTTTTTAATAGTATTGGTACATTTTCAAATCTCAGCCCAGCCTAAATTATTTGTCAGCTCACCCCACAAATAATTTCCAGCCCAGCCCACAAAAAAAACTGGCAACTAAACCATACGTCGTTACGCAGTTACGCACACGGCCACACGCAGTCGGCAACTTAACCTCGGAACCTCCGATTCTCCGAACACCGAAGGGACGAAGACAACGAACGAAACGGGTGAAGTGGCGAACGACGAAGGGCGACGGAACAACCGCCGCACTAAAGCAGCGAACGGAACGCCGAACGCCTCTGGCTCCGACCGACCTGACTGCCTCCAGCCTCCCTCTCTTGGCCTCTCGCTTTCTCGACCAGTCCTCCAGGCTCCAGCGACCGACACTCCGGCAGATGGCAGTCCAGCGGCCAACCTTCATTCCTCCAGGTAAATCTTCTTGCGGTCTTGCCCTTTTACCAAGTAATTTGTGCCCATTTGGTATAATTTGACCGATTGAGTTTGGTGTTGGTGTTGAATTTTAATTTGTGTAGTTCGTGAATTTTAATTTGTGAATCAGTGAAGTTATGAACTTCTGCCGTGAATTTGTAAATTGTGATTAACCGATTGTGTATTAAACTATTAATGTATTAATTATTATTATTTTAGCATTTTAGAGTTTTAGGGCTAGGGAATCATACAATCGTTTTGATTATTAATTGAATTTTTCAGTACATAATTAAATAGTTTTATTTTTTATATATAAGTATTTTAATATATACCAATATTGAAAATGTTTTTTAGAATGGATAATGAACATGTTGCCAAGAAGGGAAAGAAGTTGATTTCATCATTCTTTTCGAAAGTGAATCGTCAAACTGGTGAAGGAAGTTCTGAACCTATACCTACAACAGTGCAAGATCTAGTCAATGAGGATCCTCCACATGCTGTAGTCCCTGAAATCCAAACTATCTCAAATTTGGATTTCAATGCTCGATAGACATGCTCGAATGTAGAAGTTTAGAGTATTCAAATTTTTATTAATCATTAATAAATTTATAAAAATTGCACTAAAACGTTTAAATTTTATGATATGTACAATAGTATAATTTATATGTGAACGATAGGCTCGTGTTCGGATCGAAACATCACTATGTTCGATCTCGACTTGAATAATTATTCAAACTCAAAACCTACTCCGTGTTCGAGTTCGAAACTTGTTAAACTCAATTCATTAAATTAGATTCGAAATCAAGCTCGAACTCGAGTATATAATTCAAAAAAATCTTTGTTCGATAACAACCCTGAGCTAAATTTGGTATGTATAGTAAAAAAATTACTGCTGCTTAGCCCACCCCATCTCTCGATCCTGGATCCGCCCCTGACCGTAACAAAGCGTAAAGGCCATACATTCGGCCCTGTTGGCAGTTCACACACCCAAAAAAAGAAAACACTGTAGCAATTCATAAATGGGAAAAATGCCAGCATAATGGCGCCAACTTTTTAGATTTGGAGCCAGATTAGTTCCAAAATATTCGCACTTCTATAAATAGAAGAGAGAGTGACGAGTTTGGAGCCAAGAACAATGGTGAATTCGTAGATGACATGCGCCTCTCAGACTTAGGAAAAACCTCTCAGACATGTTGCCATCATCGAGGGGGGCATTTGACGGCCATTAAACAGGTAAACTTTATCATCATAGAGGGCGTTTAGGTCTGGTATCTATTTGGAGGCCTTCCTAC